ATCGATATTTTACAAAAAATTTTATCATAACTGGGATTTTTTCATAAAATGTAATATACATTGTAGTTATTCCTATACTTACAATATTTATCCACTAGTAAGTATTATAAAAATATTGTATACGATTTATATAACTTGTGTTTGTTAAAATAAATTATTGTTATACATATAAGATTTATTTAAGGCCAACAACTTTTATTAAAAACACTGCCATAAAATAGGTATTTCATTTGTGATTTTTAATTTTTATTTTAATTATAAAATAAATTAAAAAGTTTGCAATTTGTTATGACACATCGATTCATTATAGCGTACCGAAACAATTTTAAATTCAAAACAAAAATTTTGACTATGTCAACTATTTTTATACTATTAAGCTGCAAGCATAACTGAATGGGGTTAATGACATTTTAAATCAGGAGGGTAAATGATAACACAGTTCTACTTATTCAAAATTTGCAATTCAAATCACTCAAAATATCATTTATCAGGCATCAAAATATTAGTCCTCGTACCAATTCTAAATTGTAATAAAACACGGAGCGTTAGAGAGTCATGACATAATACTTATTGGATTTTAATAGGCAACCACAAATTTATTCTGATAACTAATATGCAAGTTTTTTAATTGTTAATAATGAGCATTTTTTACATTATAGACGCGATATTAAGAGAGTTTTAACTTTACAATGTTACCATGAAAAATGTTTTAGAATTGAAAATTCTTGTTTCTACAATTGCTTTTTCTAATGTACTTTTTTTTATTATTAGTCATCTTACAATATTTTTTTATTAATCTAGCCGTCGTAATCTAACATACTATAATTTCATATAATTTTGAGTTCAAATTATTTTACAATTAAAACCTTTACAAAAAAAAACCGTGGTAAAAATTATATTAAGTGACTAATGTTTATTGAACATTTAATAATTATTTAAGTACTTACTACGTGTGAATTTATTTTAAATCGATTTTAAAATCTAAATCAAAAGTACTTTAAAAAAATATAATGATAAAAAATTACATTTTCATATTATCACTTGCAAACATTTAAAATCTAGATTATTACTTATACGTAACATAATGTATAAACTGAAAAAGGTTTGAGCTTTCCAATATTTGAAATTTATTACGTAAGCAGTTTCTAGATTCGTACAAAATTTATTCTTTTTGGAAAAAAACAACGCTGAAGATCACGCTATACGAGTAAAAGAATTAAATAAATATATGTAAGTATTTTCTAATTTATACAAAAATGTGAAGTTGAAATTTTTAAAATCAAAAAATTTTCTAACTTAGTTTTCTTCTTTAAAATTTTTACCCTTCACATGAACCTTTAATATTATCACATAATTATATGCTAGTAATTTATTATAAACCAAAATAAAATTCTCAGAAAAAATTTAATTATAAATTCCTTAATTTATTTTTTTTTTAAATTTAAGGATCAAAGGAAGAAAATCTTGATCTACAATGCTTGATGTTTATTTAAAACGTACAAAGTTTTCTCTTTGTATTCCAGTAAATAAAAATAAACTAAACAATCTGCTGTACTTAATAATTATATATAATACTTATGTATGTAAATTCTCTACATAATGTTTATCATAAATTTACTGTCATAAGCAAAAAAGATTTGCGTCCGTTTTCTAAAATAAACATTTTTTTATACTTAACATGATTTCCCGGCTCTACTACTTATAAGAAATATAAAATAACTTCAATAAGATTTTGTACTTCTTGAATTGAAAGACATACAAAAGTACATATTACAAGTATGTAAGCATGTAATTATAAAAAAAAAACAAAGCCAAGGAAATGTTTTTCCTACATATAAAAATAATTAGGGGTAAATAGTGAATTTCAAAATACTTAAGTACTAACCAGAATAATCCGAATATATTATAATTGTACTAATTTAGTAAAAATACTACTAAACCTGGGATTCATTGGTTCGTCGTTTTTGAGCTGAGCTATTTGTAGTCGAACTATTATGATGCATTTATTACTTTTTTGACGAGAATCATAAGTAACTGTAATAGTTCAGTATACGTAAATTTGACATTCTAAAAATCCTCGCCATTAAGTTAAAGTTGATTCAACTTTTTGAGAGGGAGAAAAAAAGCTGTACTAAAAATAAAGAGAATGTCAAAAATTCAAATTTTCATACAAAATATATCAGCTGGTCGTGAAAGGCTTAATACACAAATGATTGAGCTTTAAAATACTCTGAATTTTATGTATTAAAAAATCATGTTTAAAGTTCACTTAAAAGACACAGTTAAGTAAATGTGATTTCAAGCAACCAACTCCTAAACTGAATTCGATAATTCTTAATTTTTGTAAAAATTTAGTTAAGTAATAAACTTCAATTAGCTTTAAAACTGTACAAATATTCTAATATATTTCTATATAATTTAAGTATCTCGTAATTTACTTATTTTGTTGTAATTTTTAAAATTAAGATATCACACATTAAGTACAAACAAGTAACAAAGTATAATTAAATGTAACTCAGAATCACAGAATTAAATTATCTTTTATAAATTACTTATACTTGCAAACAAGATTGTGCAAGTACTTTTCGTTAAAATAATGCCAGTACTGCAAACTTTGAAATTAATCAATATTTTGTCATACTTAATTTAAAAATGTAATTGCACGCTTACATTAATATAAAAGATAAGAACAAACATACATTGTTAATTTAATACATTGAAGACAAAAATTTAATCAAATAAATACTTACGAGTATATCAGTGTAATTTAAAGTAGGTACATAAAGTAATTTTAAAATCAATTTCAAATACTCGTACTGTTAGCATCCGAAAAAGAAACAATCAATAAGTACAGGAAATAACCATAAAAAAATTAAGAATAATTTTCTAATCGAATTTTTTAATTACTTTAATTTTATATTATTTAATTATTATTTAATAAAAATAAAAGTATAATGAAGAAATTATGAATTAAATTTTCGGTAATAGCATTAATGGTTTTCCATTTAATTGTTTCTTTTTGCTATAGGATATTAAATATTCCAATTCGATTTCTAATTTAATTATAAGTAAGAATTTAAGCAGATATCTAACCATGTTAGCATGATATTGGAATTACTTATTTAAATTCTAAATAATAATAAAAATATAATAAAATTCAAAATATAAAAAAATTTCTTGTAAATGCATTGCAAATACTTATAGTTTTAAACTTATGTAATAATTAACTTTATTATTAATTTTTATTATTAATAAATGAAAACAAAACTTTTGCAAATTCAATTCTACAAAATTATGCACTTAATAACAAAAAAAAATATAAAATAAACAAAAATGTTCATTATGCAATTGAAATTTAATATTTTATACATAAATAAGTTTGGCTTAAATAAGTACTTATGTGTATTAATAAAATATTGTCAAAATATAAAATATGGGAAAGTAATTAAAACTTGTACTTACATAAGGTATATTAAATTTTTTCAATAGAAATCATAAAAAGAAAAGTCGCAAAGATAACAATAATTGAAATAACAATTTTGATAAAAAAAATTATGTAGATATGGTGGATACCTACATACATTAGCATTTACATATACATATATGTATATATGCATATGTATACATATATATGTTTGTATACGATATTCTTTGGTTCCAAACAAATTTCTCGTACGCTAGGAGGGTATTTAATTATTTATTTGAATTGATATTTGACATATACAAATAAAAGTACTTGTAGTCAAATCGGTGACTATTAGGAAAAACCATCAAAAATCGATATCGATACATGCAATGCAACAATGAATATCAACTGGGATATTCTTTACTTTATTAATAGCTATTTTGCCATTATTGTAAATGTACTTTATGTACACAAACAAGTAAGTATAAAGAATTTTAATTTTAATTAAGTAATTAAGGAATTTTAATTAATTAAAATTAGTTTTTATTTTTTATTAATTTATTCTTCTTTTTTTTTTACTTTCCTAGTTCCACTGCGTCGCATACTTATTTGAAATAATATAATAATTAATAAAATTAAGTACAATTACCTATTTGATTTACATTTTAATAATAACATACATAATTTAATTATTTTACAACTATGTATAGAGACCTTCATTACATAATTTAACGTTGTTCTTAATCAATGATTGCATTTACAAATCTAATGAGGTATTTAATCCAATGTGATGTTAAACTGCGTTTGTTGTAAAGGTAACCAGCTTTGTATCAAAACATATAGGAATATTTTTTCCAAATTTCGAATATATTTAAAAACAAATTGTTTTAAATATAATTTTTTTATAGCTTGACTGAAGGGATTTATTGTAGGTAGGTATAGGTACTGTAGGTACCTACTTAATTAAAATAGGTACTTAATTAAAGTGTATTATATTAGAGTGTAGGTACAACGTAAATATTTGAGGTTGTTGAACTTTTAATTTTACACTTATAAAATATTATCTACTTATTTTACATTTTTAATAATTTTATTCTATTTAGATTATAGGTACTTAGCGAAATCTGCGCTATTCATTAATTTCGGAATCTAAAATGAGGTTGCATATACACATACTAACTATTATTTCGTAAATTATTGAAAATAAAATTTTACACCATTGCATAAAGAATTAGGAATACAAAAGATTTTTCTTGTAACCATCGATCAAGAAAATATTCAATCATGCTTATGTTTTATGAACACTGCTCCGCTATACATACATATATGTATGTACATATAGGCATTTTAACAATACATTCATACATACATACATACATATAAAATTTTCAAATTTTGTTCACATCATCATTAAAATAAAAGCAACTTAAAATACACAAAAAAAAAAATTCCAAATTTTTGCATTCTTCTTCAAAATTAAATTTTAAAAAACTTAAAAAAAAGTAAGAAAAAAATAAAGGCTATCGACATTTTGTTAAAAAGAAACTCAAAAAAAACATCAGGTAAAATAATAAAAACAAAATTACATACACACCTTTTTATTACAAATTAAAATTTTTTTTTTGAAACCGTCTGATTTCAAAAGGATGAACTTTCAACAAAAATTTTTTTGCTGTTCACAAAAAAAAAAAATTATAAAAAAATTTTGCAATCACCAATTACTCCAGTAATAAATCAACTAAACACAAAATTAAAATATTTTTAAAATACACTTTGAATTTTTTTCAATATTTTTTTAATTTTTTTCTATAAAATTTTTAATAATTTTGTAAATTATAAAGATTTTATCCAAAAAAATATTAACAAACTAAAAAAGACACTTTTTTAATTTGATTTTTTTTTCCAGAACACTCGAAATTATTAAAGGATACGAAAATTCAACCGATTCTATTTGAAATTCCAAATACACGAAATTTATTTACTCTATACCCGATACAAACAAACATTCAAAACAACTTCTTAAAGGTGACTGAAAAACTTAAATGGCTTTAACTGTAGTCTTTCTTCAATTTTCATACAGCTGAAAAAGAAAATAAATAAAAAAAAAAATTGTAAAATAAATAACAATAAAAAAAAATGAACGTGGGTTGATCTAAGTAACTGTGGGGTAGTTGGAATTTCAATTTTGTCAATAAAGATTTTCGCGTAATAAAAGTATCAATTATTTGGTGTATGTTATATTAAAATGATGTCTCTAAAAGTTTCTAATAATTTTACTTTGTCGCAATATCATTTAATTAATAACTCCCGTGACAAAAATAAATGTTACGAAAGACTGTCAATAAGTACAAATATCGGAACAATACATAGAAATTCGTCTGACACGACCTGGTAGAGAATATTACCCAAAAAAATTATTAAGGCGTATTTGAGTGTGTGACGAAAGTAATGGTTTTGTTTATTCATCAACGCTTACTACATCTTCGATTCACTAGCAATTCAAAGCACGCCTTTTATCTTAGAGCTTATATGAATAACAGAAACTCTTAAACACCAATACATACTATTAAATTATTCATTATAAATTCTCATTCATTCATATTAAATCTATATATGTACATACTTGTAATTTTTTAGTTGAACTTGAAACTGAAAAGGTTTTTTGTTATGTTATCAAGGAAGAGAGGAGTTATTTGTCACTTTGTTTTCAAATTAACATATAATTCCCATTTTCTCAATCAGATCCGTCATTTTCTCAATGAAATATTTGTCATGTTTTATAAATTGAGAAATTTTAAAATTTGCAATACAATAAAGTAATAATAAATGTATTATAAACGAAAATTACATTTTAAACCCCTTGGCCAATGATACATATGCAATTTTTTCTACATTTTTCAACAAACAGAAAATATGAAATCTACATAAACACAAAAACAAAACAAACATATATATAAACATACATATTTAACCTAGTCAAACAAGTTAAGCAAGCAGTCAAATAATAAAAACTGATAGGCCAGCTGATTTTATAATGAGCCGACATCACAATGAATAAAAATTTCAATGAAGAAAACAATAATATATTCATAAACATATACATATATTGTAAGTAAGCATGCATATGAATATGTTCATACACACAAACATAATTAATTAATTATTATATTCCGCATACATAATTTTGTTTAAAAGCATAGTTTAAGTGCACAAATTCAATAGTTAAAAAGAGTATAATAATTTGGATTTTTATTTTTTTTTATATATTACATGTACAAACATACATACATAATACAATTTAACTTGTAGCAGGTTTAAATTTTAAAATTCGTACGCGCGTTTTTTCTATGCAACTGCAGAATAAATTAGCCGCATTATATTTCTAATTTTTCAATAACTTAATTTTATTGGCGACTGCTAGGATGAAACAAATCATTTTAAATAATATTGTGTACATCCATACATATGTTATATTCATACACTATGTTATAAGCCGAACGAATTAGCTGTGACTTATTTTCATATTATAAAGCCAAGAAATCTATAAGACTGTAACTTTTAGTCGAGTTACGTTTTTTGTTTTTGAATACACTTTAATGTGTATTTGTTTTAAGAAGGAAAAAAGGCATGTGGTTTTTTGTACATACAATATGTATGTATATATATATCAAAGAAATGAAATAAAAGAAAATAAGAAAAACATGTGCTCATTCAATAACGCCGGTTAACAGAGTCGCATTAAAAAAAAGACTGAAAATTTATTGCAAGACTTTGAATAAAACTTTTTCAGGAAAAATGATTAGAATTATATACAATGTTTGAACATATAATAAATATATATAAAACACATAAAATAAAATAAAAAAATTCAATAATTTGAGGTTCGGGTCTCTTGAACAAAAATAAAAATTTAGATTTTAAAACATTTGCGTATGTCACGAGATTTTCCCTTAAAGTTTAAAAAGAAGAAAATGAAATTCCTAAGATAAGTACGTTATGTTTTTGTGAAAAAGAATTCGGTAGGACCAACTGAATATTGAATACAAAATAAGTTTGATGATCGGACGTACTCTCACAAATCCGTTTTGATAAACATAACGCTAAGATGCGCAAACACCATCATATTAGGTATCAATTGAAAATGATATCGTATAAGCTACGAAAAAGGATCGAGAAAGCCCTCCTAACAAAAAATATTAAATTGGCATGCGGTATACAACGTTATTTGCAAATAAATTCTGCCAAGTACTATTTTGCCACTATGTGAACCATTATAAGACCGACAACCTCTCCTCATAGGATTTAAATTCACAAGCTTCCGATTTATATTCGAGAATTGCAATTAGCAACTAACTCCTTTAACTTCATTAAAATGAATGGAGGTAATTTACCCTTTTTTTGAAAAGGAAGAACCTTTACAGAATAAAAAGTAAGCAAAAAGTAAAATTAATACGTTTTTCACTATTTTAAGAAAAAATCACTTGAATTCATTTCTTGAGTATACGTTTTTGTTTACACGGTTAAATTATTTTTAATAAAAAAATAATAATTTTGTTCAAAATTCATGCTTATAATACACATTCATATATATGTATGTATGTACATATTTGAGTTTGATTACATTAGTATTAAATTTAATATAAATATGTCTACACACATTTGAAAATTTTATGTGACACCAATTATAAACAATTTTGTTGTGTTCAATATGAACAATCGGACATCAGCTTGAATTTCGTTGTAATATTGTTTTTATATTTCAATTCTTCAACATAATTTTAAGATTTTTTTTCTTGTTTTTTTTAAAGCTGTTGATTTTTGTTGTCATTTCTAAAAATATGTTCTTTCCTTTGATTTATTACATACTTATGTATACTTGTAAGCATATTATGTAGTTATGTATGCAAATATAAATGATTCGGTTCAGTTCGAATCTCAATTTTAAAAAGGCCTTTACGAAACATATTTTATCCCTATTTCTCTTTTATTTGCGATTTTCCTTTTAAGAATCATAACGAACTGACTCATACATAACATACATATATTGTATACACAAACGAATGTAAATACGTACATATGTACATATATAAACCTATACTTACTAATTAAAAATGAGATCTGTGAACATAATATTTATCAATATGATTTTCTCAAAACCCTAATTTAAAAAATTATAAATATTCTTGAGCCATTCAATTTGAGAAGCAAGAATTTTAGTTTGTTAAAAATAATATTCACTTCATTTCACTCGCAAAATCTATCGAAATAAAAAAAAAATACGATAAAAAAAAACAATATATACGATTAAATATGAAATATTGTGGCAACTTAAGAAATAATAACAAAATCAAAAATAAAATAAGAGATTTAAAGAATAAAATAACAAAATATAAATTTTAAACAAAAATAACCTTAAATTCTCAAAAATCTCAGTTTTATTAAGTCGTTCAAGAAGTTAAGATGGACTTTATAAGAATAAGAATAATTTTTACATTAAAACTCTTCTAGCTATTTAATTTAATTTACAGAAAAAGGAACAAAAAATTATATAGGTAATTATAATTCATATATATGTACATATACATATTATAATTATGTAACTGTACATAATAAGTTTATATCACAAAATGTTTGTTGTATGTAAAGTGAGGACATCTACAATGTACAATGAAATGTTAACAAATTTACATTATTAAATTTTCTAAACTGGATTACAATACTGATATTGAGTGCGTTGTTCTTATCAACTCCGGACGTATAAGAACTAAAAAATAAAAACCCATATAAAGATAAATTAAAAATTCTTGAATTTAAGAGAAAAAATGTAATAATAAAAACTTTGCAAACTACTTACATTACAAAGTGATAAGAAATTTTATATATAGTTAAAATGCAATTTACATGTTCTGCTGTAATAATTTTTTTTTTGATAAAAATTTAAATTTTATCTAATAATAATAATGAAAAATCAAAATATAATTGAAAAATAACATACTAGCCTATACTAATTAATATTTTTAATTAATTTATTTAAAAAAAAATTGACAGTGGTAAGTTATTTTGTGAATGAAATTATTAATCAATTCGCTTACTTTATGAAAACAGTCGCAAGAAGAAACAATTTTAAATACTTTATAATCTATTCAGAAATAGAAAGTGTTAATGCTTATAAAATTGAATAAACACATAATTTTCTAAGGATCCAATTAGTATAAAAATTGAATTTCCAAACCAATGATATTCGCAAAAAAAAATTGCTATAGTTGATCGTTTCAACAATTTGAGTTTATTAAATAAAATTTCTAGGAAATCGATTTCTTTATTTCGCCATATTATACCATATAGACAGACAAACAGACTAATTTTGCATCTTGTTAAAATTATTTATAATGGAGTATTTTACTTAATGGAAAAATGTGTGTATTTCTTTGAAGAAAATCCTGAAATGTCAAATTTTGTGTGATGACGATATCGTTTATATTTTGTGTGATGACGATTTTGTGTAATGTGTATTTTTACTGATCGTAATATCCCTTAATATTACGATCAGTAAAAACATATAGAATTTATTCTTTATAATACATAAGAGCATATGATTTTCCGACCATATTTATATTACATTTTTTAACAACAAACCAACCATTTATGTTCCTACACCATCAAACTTGTTATGGGGTAACGAAGAATATGGGGTAACGAATTTCGATCTTAAATTTGTTTTTTCTTTTCAAAGTTGCCGTATTTTAATAAGGATATCTTTAAACTATAATAAAAACGATATAAATAATATACATCTGTACATACATATATATTTATGTAGGTATTTATAAGCCAAATATATTGTGTTATATTTTAAACGCGTGGTACATTTCCTTGCTTAAAATATAACAATTAATTAAATTAAATTAAATTAATTAAAGGATATTTACTCTAAGATATATTAATTTAAAGTACATTTTCATTTGCAATGTTAGTTATGTAAAAGAATCAAAAGATATTTATTAATAACTTAATTGTAAGTGAGAATGTTATCAAAATAAAATCATCCTTTTTATTTTATTTTAAACATATATAACAGCTACAACATATATACAAACATTCGTATTGCAATTTTTCTATAAAACTTTTCTTTGCATATATTTAGGAGAACACTCTATTCAGATTTTAGAATAAAATTTTTTCACCAGTTCTAATTAACTTTCCATTTTATGCATCTGACTGAAATTTACCTCTGAAACATTAAAAGGCGTTTTTAAGCAACGAAAAACCAAAAAGCAAATTAATAGTTTAAAACTAGATAATATTTTTGTGTAAATAGGTTAATGAAAAACAAGAACAAAAAAAAAGTAAAACATTTCTGATAAAACTAATTAGAATTTTAATAATGTTATACTTAAAATTAAAATAAAAAAACATAACGAAAAAGCCGGTAATATTATCGATTCATAATTTTTTAAAAATGTTGTTAGCTTTAGAAAAAGGTTATAATTTAAGTATTAGTATATTATCGACTTCCATAATATCAACACAACAATATATCAAGTATGATTCCGTCCAAAAAAAAAAATTAATCCCAATTATTTATGTACAACAAAAAAATTAGAATATAGCTAGATAATTTTGAAAAAAAACCAAAATACAAAAAAAAAGCAAAATCTTATCTTATCATTTTCAAAAAAAAAAAATTTTTTTTTCTCTTACCGAATTTTTGATGGTTTGATCGTATATGTAAATGTTGTACTAATTGCCATCATAGGTTAATTTTCTGTTATTAAATAGGCCTGTGAATAATTTCGCTTTTTCTCCAAATAAACAAATTAAAAAAAGAAACAGTAAGTAAAAAGAATTGAAAGAGTTAACAACATGGCTCATAAATCAAAATATAGCCGGGATTGTAAATTGGATTTATTTTTATTATCGTAATATTAATGTTGGTGTAAGTTATTAAACTTTTATGATAAGATATATTATTAAAAGTTTGGCAGATCTAGTAAAAGTATCAATAAAATTTTAAATAAATTGTTTACAAAAGGAAGTTAATATTTGTAATAAATCAATATTAAATTTAAAATTTTGTTTAAAAAATTAATTGAAATTATTTTAATATTAAAGTGTAATAATGTAAATTAAATTTTATTTGTAAATATAATATTGTAATTAAATTTTGGGCAAAATATAAAAAAACGATTACGGTTTAATTAATTTACTTAAAATAAAATTGCATTATTAAACAATTTAATAATAATAATAATTATTATTTTATTGAATATAAAATAATTGACTTAAAAATAATTGCTATTTAAAGCTTGAAATGCATATTTATATATATATATAATTATTTTTCATATTACCCTTATATGCCTCTGTTTTTGAAATTTAAGTAAGAGCAACAAACAAACAAGAACTTAAAATGTATTCTACCGGACACATACACGGTTTGTGTGGAAAAAACTTAATTTTGTTGCGTATACAATTGATATACTAAAATCCAATATTGTGTGATTATATTTAACAAAAAAAAAAATTTTTTTTTTGCTAGCTAAGAAAATTAAATGAATATTGCACGCAGCATAAAAAAAAATTTAAATATTATTTTATCTCATATTTCAAAAAAAAATAAAATGAAAGGAAAACAGAGTACGGTCAATTTTATATAAATTTTAATATAGTATATAATTGCAAATTAAGAACGAGTGTAAAATTTTACGGAAAATTCACATTCTAATATTTATTTTAAGTATATTGTTAGTGTCAAATTTAAAATTGAAATATACAAATTAAATATAGAACACAACTCCAATCGCATATAAAAATTTTGCTTAAACAATTTTTTCGAATTTTTAAAATTATTTTATTTCTTATAATTTATGTTATACAATTGACAAGATTAAAATGTTTGATTTTGTACTAAAACTTTAAATATTTTCAATATTATTATAGAAGTGTACTTATAAGATCCAAAAATATGTGAGTATAGAACTGTATACATTTACATTTTACGATTATTTTAAATTTGTACAAAAATCTAATTCCACATAAAATTTATTTATCATAATGTATTTAATTAATTACGCCCATAAAAATTCTTATAAGATGTATAATTTATGGAAAAAAAGAAATTTTATTATACATTATAGAATTAGTACTTATATGGATAACATTTTTTCGTATAGTAATAAAATTTCTATATAAGCAATAAATATAGTATTTAGTCATTACTATCTTTTACCGTAATTAATGCCCATAGTTAAATGATTGGAAAAGTTATTAAAATAAATGATTGTTAACAAAACAACAATAAAAAAAAGGAACAAATTTTCCAAAATATTTTGATATTAAAAAAAAATTTAAAAAATAAAATGATTTCATAATCTTCTTCACTGTACAAACCTATTTATCAAATTAAATTTATAAGCATTTCTAGAATAATATTTATAAGAAGTTCTAGAATTGGAATAAATTTGTCAATTGTAATACAGACGTATAACAAAATCGTTAAAAAGCTACTACCAGGGTCAGTGATATACCGGATAATGAAGAATTGATAAAATTTTATAAAATACAAAAAATTCTGTACAGCATTTTGCTAAACACAAAATTGCTAATAATTTAAAATTTTTAATTTTAAATGCACTTTTTTAAAATATTATTTAAAATTTTTTTGTTATATTTTTAAAAACTAATATACTATTTCTTCTTTTTTTTTAATTTTAGATCTATTGGAATAAAAATTACGTATATTATCATTATGTACAATGATTTCTCGAAAATATATTTTAATATTAGCCGGTTTAATTATATTATTTTATACAATAGCTATAAATAATATTTTAAACAATGATCAAATTAGTTTTATATTTAAATATAAATCAAATAATATATTATCACAATCATCAATAATACTACCACCATTATATATAATAACACCAACATTTAGGCGGCCAGAACAATTAGCAGAATTAACAAGATTGGGTTATACATTAAAACATATTAAAAATTTATTATGGTTAGTTATAGAAGATTCAAATGAACCATCAAAATTAGTTATAAAAACTTTAGATAGAATAAAAGTTCCATATATATATTTACAATCACCAATGCCTGATATTTATAAAAAGAAAAAAGGTGCTAAACCGCGTGGTGTTGCAAATCGTAATAGAGGTTTAAAATGGTTAAGAGATAATATAAAAAATAATACAGAAAATTCTCAAATGATGGGTGTTTTTTATTTTGCTGATGATGATAACACATATGATATTTCATTATTTGAAGAAATACGATATACAAAAAAAGTTTCATTTTTTCCAGTAGGTTTAGTTACTAAATTAGGTGTAAGTAGTCCAATTTTAAAAAATGGTAAATTTGATGGTTGGTATGATGGATGGATAGGTAAACGTAAATATGCTGTTGATATGGCTGGTTTTGCAGTAAGTGTTTCATTTCTATTTCAAAGGCCAACAGCTAAAATGCCATTTACACCCGGTTATGAAGAAGATGGTTTTTTAAAGAGTTTACATCCAATTAATTCAACTGATATTGAATATTTAGCAAATAAATGTACAGAAATTTTATGTTGGCATACACAAACTAAAAAAAATAATAATCCAACAAAGTTAATATTAAATAAATATAAAGAAACAAATTTAGTTGAATTAACCAAAATGTTAATTAATAAAACAGAAAATTGATAATTTTATCTAATCATAACAGATAGTTAATCATAATAGAATCTTATTATTGAATCTATTCTAATCTTAAACATAAAATGTAAAAATATTTCATAAATATTGGTGAAATTAAAATTATAAAAATATGTGAAATGAAATGCTTATGCTACTACTAATGAATAAAATTCATATGCTTTCATAGAATCTACATAATACAATTTTAGTTCTTAATTATATAAATATAAAAATGTCAATGTATAAATGTGTAATAAAAAGTGTTATATTTGAAAATGTATTTTGTCAAATGCCAATTTCTTTTTTATGATTTTCGGACACCAACTTATTCATTTAATTTGTACCTATTCTATTGAAAAAATGTGTAACACTGTAGTGTCTTTTAATATTTTGTTTTTTATGATTGCCCTAGCGAGATTGTGCTGCTCTTATTTGGGCTACTCAATAAGGGAATGGTAATCATGATTTGTTATTTCAATTAGGCTTACAACAAGTCTTTCTTATTCTTCTTACTATTATTTTCTTTTATTTTTGTTTTTATAGAAACAACAAAAATTAAAGAAATATTTAACGAATCATTATAAATATTAATCGTAATAACAGTAAACTCCCGCGGCCATGTTTGCAATTTTTTTTTTGTAGAAATAAGTTTGCTAAATTTAATAATATAAGTATATATAGCAGCTATTATCTATAATAAATAAATTTATAACATTTTACCCTAAAAATCGCAACTACAATCACATTTCCCAAAAAATTTGATCTAAAAACGATCGAATGAACAAAACAAATTTGATGTTTAAATTTCAATATGTCAAATTTCTGACTCGGTATTTACATAGGGGAAATATTCGGTTTTGCGTTTATACAGAGTTTACTATGCTAGAGAAAATTTAGTGTTATAGATGAATTTTTTAATATTAGCAAGGTTCAATATATCAATGCCATTGAAATGGCAAATACAGTTTAGGTAAATTTTTTTGAATTAATAAATTTTTTGCATAATTTTTTGCATAATCTTGAATTTTGTGGATGGGCTTATAAATTATTATGCCAAAAATTGAACACATAAATCTAAATTTAATATGTATATATGTATTTTACTGTACAATATTTTATCTAATAATAAATTAGGGAAACTTAAAGCATTTTTGTTTTTTTTTTTCAATAGTTTTTAACATTAGTAACTTTGTTTTTTTAATATTTTGCACAATCTCCTATAAGGGCTTATTTCTAAATATACCCTACTTACTTATTATTTAAAAATATAATATAAACGACATCTGACGGCTTTTTCTTACTCATAAATAACGGTATTAATTTTTTTTTTAAAATCCTCTTCTTGTAATTCTAATTAGACAGCTGATTAAAATATTTGACAGCTGATTTCTGATGGCAAGGTAATTGTCAAGTAGACAAAAGTAGACATTTCAATTCAGTCATAAAAAGTCAGTCGTCATTCTTTTAAATGATTTGTTGAATAGCTTAAAAAGAAAAAAAAGTGATTTTATTTTTATTAATTTAATTTGTACTTGGTTCTTTTTTCATAGGGGTATAAAAATTTATTTAATTTTTCATCTGAATTTTTTACAACTTCTTATATATATATTATGCGTGCATATATATATATGTATTCAATTTTTCTTGAATGCATGTAAATATAAAACATTAAAAGCATTCAATATAAAAAAAAAGAAAAATCGAAATTCGTGTATATGTAATATAAATTTTAAAATACATTAATTATTGTGCAATTATAGAATTCCAAATAAAATATTTCAAATTAAATGAAAGATTTTATCTACATGAATTTATAAAAGAAATGCTGCATAAGTTCATTAATAAATAATTTTAATATAAAATTTGGAAACAAAGGAAATTTCAAATTTAATGTTGGGATGGGCTTTCTTTGACATGTACATATACATACCTATCTATCCATAATAATAATTGTTGCTCAAATCAATAGCGAAAGTTGATATTTTTCTTTTAATTATAAAGAAGGTCAGGGAATGCCGAATGCCTACTAAAAATTATCCTATTGGGTTATACATAGTTTCTAAATTTCAGAATTTTTATATTTTAACTAGTAAAAAAATTAGTGATTCAAGATTTGCTTGATCATTTTAACAATTTACAGTGTTTTGTTTAAAAATTACATATTAAAATTTAAGATAAACATATATATGTATGTATGTATATGCCATGTGAATTAAATGATATAAAGTCCACAAAAAAAAACCCAAGATACTATTTAGAAAAACAAAAAGCCAAAAATTAAAATGAGTCATTATATTCATTAGTAATTTTAAATTACGTAGTTAAAAATATTTTGTTGTCTCCCAATGGTTTTTCAAAATTCCTATATGAAAATAATGTGAAATGTAAGCAAATTTAATGCTTAATAAGTAAAATTTTTAACTCATAATTATAGAGGTATAGCTGGGCATGTACTTACTCTTGCCTTTGTTGTGTGCGATCTGAAAATCTAAAAATTATCGAAACAAATACATTAAAATTGAATTTAATGGTGTACATGGACATAGTATTACACTACCTATTATATTATTTATTCATATATTCTTCTAATGCCGATATTTTATTTAATGTATCCGACTTTAAATGGTGTTAAGTGATAGCCAAGTAATTTTTTAAGTCGTCATATTTATTGCTTACTGTATTCTGAAACATAAAAGCGTAATTGCGACGTTATCATGGCATATTTTATCAATTAAATAGATTTTTTTTTTTCGGAAAAAAATTGCAAATAGAAGAACAAAAATTTCAAGTTTATTTGTTCTTATTTAAAAAATCACAAGCAATCATACAGAACCTATGAAATAAAAAATTCATAATTTTCGCTATTATTTCATCAATTATTTTTGCTTTTTTGTTTTATATCAAAGTTATCAGAACTTTTAGCATATTGAAAACAAGAAGTTTTTATTAATCAGCAAAAATATTATGGGGAACAATTGTTTTTCTTCTTTAAACCTTATTTCTAAGGAAGATAAAGGAAACCTTATAATTACCTACATACCTATTAGATGGGTATGTAGGTAGCTAGATACTACATGTAATGTTCAGAAAATACAAATATGTTGTAGGTACTAATACAAAAATAATTAATATTATGTTTCATTCTTGTCATTGACTTTTTCTTCTTATGAAGTTCTTATTAAAGTAAAAAAAATGCATTTTATTTAATATCATTACTTCCTGGTATCAACTTTTTAAAGCAGCACGCAAATATTTTTTTGTTCCTATTGAAAAAACTGTAAGAAAAACTACAATATTTTTATTAATATTTTTTATTTTCTCAAAATTGTAATATAGAAAGAAAGTGTAATTGATTCTTTGTTTAAAATGTCACGTGGATTATCGAGCCAACAGCAAATGCCGCGAGATTATGGAGCAACATCCAGCAGCTCGAATGCTATAACATCAATACCTGATGTAAACTTTTCCGGATTCAGTCCAACAGAATTTATGGCGTTGAATGAAGCGATTGGAAAAAATATTACAACAATTAAATTTAAGACAAATTTATTGGTCCGTTATAATCGGGGAATATCTTCTGGTCGCGCAGATAAAGATAAAGATAAAGATAAAGATAGTATTGAAACAGCACAAAAAATGCAAACTGATACAAATCTTCTAATTGAACAAACACAAAACGATTTAAAAACTTTAACGAATGTTGTAAGACGTGGCGATAAATATCATAAACTTCAATTGGAGAAGTTAACAACTGATTTTGTTATTGTTGTTGAAAAATATTCGAAGGCACAGCAAACTATTGCAACAAAAAGGAAACAACTTTTAGCCTTATCACAACAAGATGAACAAAATTCTGAAAATATGAGTGAATCGGATAGGCAGCAACTTATACAGCAGCAAAAAGAATTAGGAAGAGCTTTAAAATTCGAACAAGAAATCCAGTATGAACGTGAAGAAGAAATTAAAAAAATTGAAGGAGTTCTGCTGGACGTAAATAAAATAATGAAGGATATAAGTGTAATTGTGAATATGCAAGGGGAACAAATAAGTAAGTTTACATAAATACATATTTATAAAATTTTATTTTCAGCTTGTTTTATTAACATACATTTTTATTTTAGATACAATTGAAGTGGAAATTGATAATACTGCAGCAAATGTTGAAGAAGCCGCATCTGAGTTGCAAAAAGCTTCTGCTAATCGTCAAAGCTATCGACGTAAAATATTAATTTTGTTAATTATTGCTGTGATAATAGGTTTAATTGTAACTGCAATCGTTGTTTCTAAATTGAAAAGTTAATTAATATTTTTTCCCTTATTAATGTAATTATTACATTTCGACCAAATTTCTAACTTATAAAATTATTACTTTGTCACCTATTTTTTAATATTTTAATTTTTTTTTTTTGCATTCATACATATATATGGTTTTCATTCACATAAAAAGCAATTTCCATTATCACATTTTTGTTTAGAGAAAATTGAATAGGAAACGTACGTATTACGAATATATTAACAATTGATTTAAGGTGGACTACGTAAAATTGTATAAATCATAAGAATAAATGTATAATTTATTGTGATAGGTACATAATTTATGAAAAAAAGATTCAGTACTAGAAAACTCAAAAATTAAATCCCAAAAAACAAAAGTTTTGTAAGAAGTTTAGAAAATAGTGTTAAAACATTATAAAGAAATTGACAATTTAGAGAAAAAAAAAGAGTCGAAAAAATTTTACTTTTTCTGTATTAGAATTTGCTGTTCATGATAAAAAATTTTTGCTTTTATTATTAAAATTGCATTTTTGTATATTGAAAATTATAGAATTGCTTTTAGCAATTTGTAATTAACCTGAAAGATTAGTAAATAAAGCAATTTTGCTTAAGTGAGTAATTGCGAGTAATTTTTATTGAATTTTGCTTTACTGAATTTTCTTCTGTGGAATATTTAAAATGATAATAATTAATTCTACATTTAAAAAAATTCGTACGCAATTTAAAGGTTCATAATATTGTTATAAAATATGTCAATAAACCCAGAAGAGTATTATATAGCAAAGTTTCATTACAACAGAATATTTATTGCAAACATAATTTCCTTAATTTTTAATGCTAAAAAAAAAATACCAAACTAAATAGAATCAATATCAATTTTTTGTCAGTTTTTAGTAATGCATATTATATTAGAAATTTAATCCTATATTAGAAAAAAAAAGATAATTATAAAATAAAAATATTAATAACGTATTAAAATAGTTATAATATCTTATCATATATCAATTATAACTTAATAGTTAATAAATAAAAACAATTTTAAAATTGAATATAAATAGTCTTTAATTTTGAGTAATTTTTTATATTACTCGAATGCCTACCCGCTTATTTACAATTGAAAGATTTATGTAATTATAACACTTAAAATAGACAAAATTGATAAGTGTTGAATTTAATTTTATTGAATGAAAAGTTACTCATATTGAGGAAATTTGATAAATTATAAAAATTCTTCAAATATTATGCAGAAATTGACAATTTTATAATTTTATATTTTTTATTTTTAATTTCAATTAGCTGGTCAAAATACATAAACAGTAATCATTGGTAGGCCACTGAATTCAAAGAAAATTGTTGAACATCTGGCATCCCTTACGTTTATTTTATTAAATTAAGTCTTCTGTGTATATTTTATCTTAACGTTTCTGTCATATTTTTTGCCTGCACATTTTTGACTGTTTGATATTTATTGTTGTTTTTTTTTTTCAATTTAATATTTGTTAAATTTAATATTTCTTTATTTAAAAAATAAAGAAAAATATGCCGCAGGGACATAAAAAGTCAAAGATACCAGAAGTAGTGAAGAAAAAGCTACAAAAAAAAGGAGGTGGCAATGCATTTACTAGGAGGCCAAGTAACTTTAAAATTTCTCTATCATTTGTACAAATTTTTAGTATTTTTGTTTTAGATGCCCCAATACAAAAAAAGAAAACCAAGTTAACGGAACAGGATAAGATAAAGCAAGTTATTTCCAAAAAATTAAATAAAAATGCCGAAAACGAACTAAGATCACTTGCTGTTGAAAGCAATTTAAATCTGAGCAAGGCGCAAAAGGCAGTTAAGAAAATACAAGAATTACCTAAGGGTGATAAAATGGAAACGTAACCAAAGCTATGCCTGATTCTAAATTTTTATTTCCAAATTATTGAAAAAATTTTAATAAAAATAGCATTTAGTACGAATTTGGAGCAATTTTAAATCTTTATTTTAATGTTTTAAGCTATGAAATTTGGGACTGGACCCTATATTTATATTATAAAAAAGCGGTGTATTAAAGTATTTACTACGTGAAACCATACAAGTGTGGAATTAAATGTCTAAAGATAAAAAGATGTTGAAAGCAAATATTACATTTTTCGAGGTTTTTTCAATTACAACTAAAAATACTCCTTTTGTTCCTATTTCACTGGATTTGTTTTGAAATAGATTTATTTTGCAGATATTTTAGATCATATGGTGTTGTGTTGACATTTGTCAAGTAACAGATATTTTGAAAGCCGACAAATCAAAAAAGTAAACAAAAACTAGCCAAATAATACTTCATACATAATATTTAGGACAATTTTTATAATTAAATAGAAATACCTTAAATGAGAAGTTAAGAGTATGTATCATAAATTATCAAAAATATTTTGGCCTCGTTCCGTTATCCCAAAAGATGCAATTAACATTAAAGCACAAGGTATTTTGTCAAAGAGCCAGAAACTCATGCTTGATTTAGGGCTTATAAAGCCAATAGGGAATGGTACTTATCAGATAACTCCAATCGCACAAAGATCTTTGGATAAATGTGTGTCTCTTGTAACAAAGCATATGGACAAAATTGAAGGCCAGAAAATGTCACTTTCACTTTTAACGCCAGCAGACTTATGGCAAAAATCTGGACGTCTTTCTAATACAAGTGAACTTTTTTTATTTACAGAACCATTGAGCAATAAACCGTTGCATTTACTTAGTCCTACACATGAAGAATCTGTGACAAATTTGTTATCACAATCACAACCAATTAGTTATAAACAACTACCAATTTTATTATATCAAATTGGTTGGAAATTTAGAGACGAACTTAAACCGCGTTTTGGAATGATTCGTGCTAAAGAATTTTTAATGAAAGATTTATACAGCTTTGATAAATCTATAGAGGATGCTAAAAATACTTATGACATCGTAACATCGCAATATAATAGAATTTTTGATTCTCTTCAACTCCCATGGGTAAAAATTGAAGCAGATTCAGGAATAATGGGCGGTCAGCTATCTCATGAATACCATATCCTTTCCGATATAGGGGAAGATAATATCATAAATTGCAGAAATTGTGGATTTTGTGCGAATGAAGAATTATACAAAAATTCCAAAAATAATTGTATTAAGTGTAATTCGAGCCAGTTAAGTATATCAAAAGGCATTGAAATCGGCCACACTTTTTTCTTGAATGAGAAGTATTCTACACCATTAAAAGCAAATTTTTTAAATGTAACAGGCAAAACAGAACCATTAATAATGGGATGTTATGGAATTGGTATTACTCGTTTAATAGCTGCCTCTTTAGAAGTTCTTTCTAACGAAACTGAATTAAGATGGCCAATTCTACTATCTCCATATGATGTTTGCGTTATTCCACCAAAAGAGGGAAGTAAAGAAGCAGAATTTGTAAATATACATTTGAAATCAATAATGAGTGATATAGTTCATGTATGTGGCGAAGATTCTGTTTTAGTTGATGATCGGACGAATTTAACAATAGGTAAAAGGTTATTAGATGCGAAAAAAATGGGTTACCCAAATATTATAATAATCGGATCAAAATACGTTTCTGATGATCAAAAAATTGAAATATTTCAAACTAAAGAAAATAAATCAGAACTTTTAGAGATAAAAGATATTTTAATGCTGCTAAAGGAATATAAAAACGAGAAAAATAATTTATTTTCTTATATTTAAATTATATTATATGTTATAAGTGTTGTTTTATAATAAATTTCATAAAATTTATATACATTTATTTTTGTTAGTTAAATTATATCTACTCATGGATAAAATACCTATTCATTACTACATTCTTATATTTATTTTCAAGACCAATCAAAAACAAGTATGTTTGTCGGCTAACTTTACTAAAAACCAGGTTTAAGCTCTTCAATTTATATAACAATAAAATTATATTGCAACAAAATTGTGCTGTAAATCATTTAAATTGAGAGTAAACCAAAATATTTGTTAGCCCACATTCTAAAATAGAAGCATAATTAAAATTATTGAGTTAAAATAGAAAAATTAAGCAAATAAGGCTAAGAAATTTAATTCTAACTTTGAAATATTATGGAACTTAATAGCTCCTGTAAGCTTGAATTAATTTTTTAATCGTCAAATGTTGAGCTATCCGAATACAATTCTGGTCAAGTACCTGATAACCCTCCTGATACTTTCTTTGTTGATTTGTATGTTATGACATAACGCTGTGCAACTGAAAGTGGTGGAGAATAACCATCAGCATATGAAGCATCTTCAAATAAAACTTCATATTCTTCAGTTGCGCTTGCTGGTAATTTGTTAACAATAGCTTTATAAAAACAAGTGGTTTGTGGATATAATGCCATAACCATTGTTCCTTTTGAAAATAATGCATGCCCGTCCGTCGTAGGATTAGCTCTCATTAATGGCAATGGTATTATTTTTCTTTTACTGAGTATATGACGATCCTTTTGCTCCTCATCAATATCATCTACTTCATATTTATTCTGCCCGCTCATAAATTGCACAACTTCAGCTAAAATCCAATTTTCTTCATCTTCTACTCCCTTAACCAAAGCTGCTACCATATCACCAGGTTTTGCGATATAATTGCTTTCAGCGGGTACAGCACCGCATAATGGAGGAACTTTTTCTGATGGTTTACTGACAAATAATGGTAGTGTTTGAGCAGATATTTGTAACATTTTCATTAAAGCTCCGCGTCTTATAGTTTCCTTGTTACCAGCATTTCTTGCTTGAATTCGCCGTTCATGGCGTATGTTTCTAATATCTTGGATTTTTAACAGAGCTTCACGTATTAATGCTTCTTCTTCAGCAGCATCTTGCAATCCTGTTTTAAGAAGATTTTTCATTACTTTGCTTGTTGTTCGATCATCATAATTTAGTTTCTCCTGTGCACGCAATATACTATTTATGTTTGCTTCGTTCCTTCTTCTTTCATCCTCTATATCATGTATTAGTGATTGCAATGCTTTTAAGCGATCCTGAAAAAATCAATTGGAATTTAGATACAGATGTGTACATAAGGAAACATTTTAAAAAGAATTGAATAAAACCTATAACGTAAATTTAACAAAAATTGAATAAAACTTGCTTGAATCTGCTGTGCAGCCGATTCCGCAGTTAGTGGCATGATTGCTGGAAAGCTAACTCTACAAAATATAAATTTAAAAGAATTTTAACTTAATTTTTAAAATGTATTTGCGAAAAAATTCACTGAACAAATTTTTTTTATTTACAAATTCACCCAATTGTCAAAGTACGATTATATTATTTCATGGCTGCCATTTCTGAAAAATTTATTTTATTTTGTTGATAGTTTGTGGAGAGGAAATTCACAATAGAGTTTAAACTTACTACACTAATCTAAGTTTTGCCGAAAATTCTTGAACAAGACAAAAATTACAAATAACTCCGTTAATATTTAACTCCCAGACAATCAGCTAATTATTTATTTCGCTCGTGTATAAAGTTGTGCAGCTTTCTATAAAAAAAAAATCCTTAACAAATCCCCATAACAAACAAATAAAAGTTTATTGTACTTTAAAAAAAGAATAAAAAAACGAATTCCTAGCTCTTTTTTTCAAATTTTAAGCTTACGTAGAGGCTTATTATTACTTCAACTCTGTTTTGTCCAGAGAAACTGAAATAAGTTCGGAAGATGTTTTTACGGTTTTAGGTTTAAGCTTTAATATAAGCTTTAAGCGAAAAGGTGACATATTCAATTAATGCAAAATTGTCGTGTAAACACAGGTAAAAATGGCTTACACATAAATAAGGTGATGTACAAAATGAGTTATCAAATTGACAACTTTGTGGAGTTCTCAAATTAACAATTTTGTGACGTCGTATAACACGTTTGAGTTCATTTCTTTGGTAGAATTGTTAAGATAAACAGAGAAAAAATATTTTCTAAAAACAGTTAAAAATTAAGCGTTAAAGTTATCAAAAGTTATTAAGTGGCATTTGTTCATAAAAATTTAAAAATGGGAAAGTGTAAAGTAAAAAACTGTAAGAATTATGAGGGCAAAAAGACTGAAAAACAAATTAAGTTTTTTAAGCTTCCTAAAGATGAAATATTGCGCGCAAAGTGGTTGACAGCTTGTGGTTTGAATAAACAATGTTCTATGAATACTGTAAAAGTGTGTTCAGATCATTTTGTAGAATCCGATTATTGTTTGAAAGATGTTTTACTAAACACAACAACCAAAAAAAAACATTTGAAAAAGGAAGCTGTACCGAGCCAAAATATCCCGGATATTTATGAATATATGGATAATAAAACTAATAGGAGAAGCAAGAAAGAACGGCAAAATTTAATAAAAAAAGTTTTGAAATATCATGAAGGGTATGCATAAAACATTTAGAACCATGATAATATAAATATTAATCCAAATACCCTTAGTTTTATTGACAGTGAGTTTGAAGCTATGGAAGTAATAAATGATAATGCTGCGAATGTGGCTTCTCCAACAACGTAAGTTAAATATATTATAAACATATTTAAATTAAAAATTCGTTATTTTTTTCTCCAATTTCTTTTTTGTTTTTAGATGGAACTTAGAAAATGCTAAAGATCGAGAAATACTGAAATTAAAAAGAAAGTTGAAAAACGCACAGTCAAAAATCAAAATGCTAAAGAAGATTGTGTCAAGATGAAAAAGTTTTTGGTTTTATTCAGGCTAGTGGTGGTCTTCACGACCATGCCAATCCATTGGAGTTTTAGTATAGAGTAATATTAAGCATTTTAAGTTAGGGTTTAAATAAAACTTATGATATTAAAACATTATTATAAATACTAAATTATGCGTCCTTAGTAATAATAACAATTCAAATAACTATACCAATCATTATTTGTGTTAATTCAAAGTAATTGTACTTTTCTCAAATTCCAGGGTAGCAGTCAAAAAGTTAGTACATGTAGTAACGTAGAAGGGGAACGTAGAAGAGGGTTTTGAAACTGAAACTTCAACATGGCAATTGCTTAGGGAACTATTAAATTTGTTTTTACTTTAATATAATTTTTCAGTTTCGAGTTTTATGACGTCACAGATAAATGTTATAGTTTTGTACATTGCCTTCTTTTCGTATGATTTGTATACACGACGACTTTTGTATCAATAGTTGGCATACGTTTTATTTCACTTGCCTACAAAGTCGTCTATATATGTACATGTAAAAATGAATCGTGACCACAAGCAGACATATTTGCTCAATAAATTTTAAATTTTAACACTACAATGTAGCCTACAATATAGCCTACTTTCAGATTCAGCGTTTTAATTACGTTTAATTTAATTCTGAATCAAAATTATTTTAACTTTGCTTGCTTGCACTATCACCTACACTAACTGACAACTGTTCAATATAGTTAATAATCAGTTAAATTGAATTGCAAATTTGTTAAAAACCGTTTGACTGCATAAAAATATATTTAACTCCAAGTAAAATATTTTTCACAAATGTCCGAGAAATTTTCAAAAAATCCAAAGTAAAGTCCAATTCAAGCCAACTTGTTAAGTTTCTTTGACAAGCAGATTTAATATATTAGCACGCTTAGCGTTACAGGAACAAAATTACGAAAGAAATTTGGTAAAAGATAAAAAAGGTGACTTTGTAACTTTATGTTAGTTTCCTTTTTTGCATTTCCTTAAATGTTGATGCATAAGTTACAAATAATTTTAAAATTCCAATTTTCCAATTTCGAAAATTGCATAATTGCAAACGATTGTCACGTGATTAATATTATCATCAAATGTTTGACATACTCAGAAATGGCTATACTATTTACGAATCTGAATAAGAAACTGAATATTTTGCTTTTGAAGATTTGTAACATGTTTGAGTAATTCTACAGTATCCAAAAATTTTTATATTACTTTTGCAGTTATAAAATTTTAAAAATTCCTTTAGAACTTTGAACACTAATTGTCATTTTGGAACATGCTGTTCTTGCTAATTTCGCAAGTAAAATTTATCGATTTTCCTTGATATCAAGACCTAAGTTAGAACTGAATTATCGAAAATTCACATTTACTTTCTACTTCTCACACCCCTCTCTCCAATTAAAAAAAAATGCCTGTTGCAGAGAGAGTGTACATAATTAAAAATTGTTAAAATAAAACTAATAAAAAAATTTTATTTATATTTTGCATAATATGTATTTGTTTTATACGCATTTTTTTATTTAAATAATTTTACATTAAACATAAATTTCTAATAAATTTTTTTTTAATTTTATGGTATTCTATCATAAATTTTTTTCTTTTTCTTTCATTTCACTGACACATTTTATATATTTCTAAAAAAAAAATCATATAATAGTTATTACAAATATATTTTATATAAATTACTTTCTATGAAATATTTATTTTTTAATACTTTGTTAAAGTTAATTTTATTTAATTTGTTGTTCACTAATATTTTATATTTTAAGGGTAATTCATTTTTTAAATTTTATTTTAATTTTTAATCTTATTTTAAATAAATCATTTTTAGAATTATACATTAATTATGTATGTATGTATGTATATTGTAAAAATAATGAAAATCTGTAATTTTTATTTTCTTCTTACTTTCCTTACAAACATTTAATTATATTTTAAATTAAGCATCTATGTATGCATTTAATTACAAAAAAATATTAAATAATTATTTTTTATTTATATTACATATTACAAATTTATTTAAATCATTGTTTTTTTAATTGTTTTGCTGTTAATTTAAAAATACATTTCTCCAAAAATGGCCAAATTTATATTTAATTAAATTTTTTTCTGTGATTCAATATTTAAAATTCAGCATTTTTTTATTTTATTTTATGGTAAATATTAAATTTTTATAATTATAGGAAATATAGGATGTTATCTAATAATAGCAAATATAAATTTTGTGTACAAACACTAATTCATTTAAAATACTAACGCACATTTCTATCATGCTGAGAAATTAAAGAGTTATGATAAATGTTGATTTTAGCTAGAATAAAATTTAAAATGTTAAATAATACAGAAAAATTGTTTTACAATAATGTAGCTCATTTTTTCTAGCGTAATATTTTTATGATATACGAGTGCACATGGATTTATTATTCAAAAAAATTCAGTATTAAACGAGTTTCTAAAAATGTTGTCCACTTAAACACAGTATTTCTTGAAGAATTTAAACTAAAATTGATAAAACAAACTAACATATATTCTATATATTAAAGAAAAATATCAAAATAAAATGCGAAACTCACAAGACACTTCACAAAAATTTACTTTTTCAAAAATTAATTTTTGTTTTATAAAATTTATCACACAATTTTTTTCTATTTTTCGCATTTTTGTAAAATTTTTTTAAACAAAAGATGTTTAGTAAATAGTGATATATTTTAATTGAAATATTCTTAACCAGATAATCGATTCATTATCATCATGAATGCAAGAAAAATTTTAATCTTTTTTTTTTTCTGGCAATTTTTTTTTATTAATTCATATCATAAATTTAAGAGGTCCTAGCGGAAATATTTTCTTTTTAAAGATTTAAAATTGTTGGAGCAATAACATGCCTTAATCGGATTTCTTTTTAATATCAATATTTCCGTAGCTTGTACATCAAAATTATAAATTAAGCAGTTGAAATGAAATTAAAATTATTTTTATAAATACCACTTCAATTTTACCATGATTTATTAAAATGTTGAATTAGCGAAACTTTGTAAAACAATATTGCAAACACAAAACATTAAAAAGACTTCAAAAGCTAAACAGTAATGTAAAACAATAATTAAAATTATGATTAAGAATCTTTTTGTTTATCATCAGTGTAATTTAAGTATTTTGGTTAAATGCATTTTATTGTAATTTGGGTTTCATTATTTATATAGGAAAATTTTGATTACAACTCAAAATTTTATTAATAACTAATCCATTCTTATTACAAAGGAAAAACAAAAATAAAATATAAAAAATAAAAAAAAGTAACAATAAAATAAAGGACCCAACATTATATTTTATACGCCCTTCGAATAATTTTATATTGGCATCATTTTTTTTACAAATTTATTATATTTAAAGTTTTAATTTTATAAATTTTTACGTTAAATCGCACTTAATATTTCAAAAGAATAAGTATATTATTATTTTTTTTTTGGCTTTGTGTAAAATAAGTTAATTTTTGCATTTTATTTAAAAACTCAATTTTTATTTTTATTAGTATTTTGTTTGTTATTGTTAGAACAAAGAACTTGAAATTTAATTTAGAACAGTGTTCAAAGGTAGACAAAATTAAAATCGAATCCGTTTTTATAAGATCAATGAAAATATTTTAAACATAAATAGAAAAAAGAATTCACAGTGTAATATAATTAAAACAAATATTTTGAGTTATTTTAGAAATTAAACTTTTAATTTACACTCAGCCTGTACCTTAAAGACGAAATTTAAAAACAAAATTAAATAGTAATAGTAAAACTAATAAAAACTTAAAATAGAGAATATTTTTTAAATTTATTAATTTAATATAATTTTTTTTTAAATTTTTAATTTAATTAATAATAGTAAGAATATAATATATATATATATATAGATTTATGTTTATTTAGATAGTCCTTTTTTTTTTTATATTATACAATAATTATAAAAAAATTACTACTTAAAAAATAATTACTATCATAGTTGATGTTTTTAAACTGTTTTATTTTTATTTTTAATTTAATATGTTGCATATTATTCTTTGAATTAATTTTTGTTTTTTTTAACATGCCTTTTTAACATGCTATGCATATTTGTGTGAATTTATTATTTTTTATATTTAATATTAATACAATAGTAAATAACATGTGTGTAGTTTCATAGTATTTTTAATTTTTTTTCTTTTCATTTTTAATAAATTTTTAAAGTCTTAATTTGAATATAAGTTTAAATATACATTTTTCATGGTAAATATCTGAAATTTAATATTAATATAATGTGTTTCATATAATAATATGCTTGTGTTTTAGACTTTAACCAGTACATGTTTCAGAATGTTCATCCCATGCTTGCACCTACAATAATAGAATATTGTAAATTATTTTAATTTTTTAAATTTTGTGATTGCAAAAAATGTAAATTTTAATAATTAATATTTTTTTTATTATTATTTTTTTATATTTTAAAATAAAAAATTGATAAATTTCAAATGTATATACCTGACATTCTCTACTACAATACCATTGACTTCCACAACCAGCACATACAAATTGAGCTTCTTGATTTTTACATCCTTGACACCATGGTACTTCGTTTTCATGAAATTCTTGACCAATGGCATTTGGTGCAATTCGATGTATTTCTTCGCCTGTACCTGAATCACCGCCACCTTCATCAATAACCAAACGGTCAACACTATCATCAGCTTCGTCATCCTTAAAAAAAAAAATTACAAAAAATATAATTAATAACATATACTAGCTGAGTATATAAAGGTGATTCAGTAATCAGTGCCTTGACATATAAAATTTTTTAGGGCAACATGTAATTTTTTGATTCAGGTATAGGTATCAAATCTTAATGGTATATGTTAAGGCACTGATTACTGAATCATCCTGCATATTTATAATATTTATAAAATTTATTATAATCTTACCATATTCATAAAATATTCAGACTTTATACGATCACTAGTATTTCCACTATTAAGATTTTTTGATATATTTAATGCTTCTTTAATTTGTTTTTGTAGAAGACTGTGTTGTAATGCTGTTTGTTGTGCAGTATTTGAATTCATAACTGGAGTTATTGTTATTTCACTATTATGAGCAACAACTTTTGTTAAATTTAAACCTGTTGAATTTGATGATGATGTTGCAGCAGCAGCAGCAGCAGCTGCTGCCTGAGCTGCTGTTATTGTTGATGTTTGATGAGATCCAATTGTTGAATTTTGAGATCCAGATAAATTATTTGTAATACGTTCGGGAGCTGTTAATAATCTAGCCAATGTTGGTGAGAATGTACTATTATAGTTTGTTGTTGTTGAAGTTGGAGCACATGATGTTTGTTGTTGTTGTTGTTGACCAGCTGCTACAACAGCATTAAGAAGAGAATTTTGAGACGAATTCGATGAATGACTTGATGATGTACCACCACGAGAATACTAAAATTATATAATTAAATAAAACAGAACATAAATAAACATTTATACAATAAAATTTTAATATGCGATTCGATTGAATTCGGAATATTTTGAATTTTGTACATTTTTTTTTTCTTATTTTTTATTGTTATATAAAAAATATTTTTGCATTATGAGTTTGAAATAATTTGAAAAGCCAGATTTTATATTATTGTTGTTGGAAGGGGATTAAGTATGGGTTATCATGAAAGAAAATTTAGATAAAAATTTCTTTTTAAAAAATGATTTCTAGTGTTTTAAGTGTAATAATTAATAAAGTAAAAAATAAATTCAGTTTTTTATAGTATTTGTTTTTTTCATAAAAAAAAGTTCCATCTAAAAGAATTTAGTTAAAAAAAAGGTAAATACATATGAGAACTTTTACCAAAGAATAAATTATATTTATAGATAAAAATAAATTTACAGTTCGATACAAAGTTGATATACACAAGTTATTTTAATAATGATTATTGCAGGAATAAAAAAAATGTGTAAAATAATTGTTTAGATTCTGTTTTGCATTTAAATATTTGTACTCCCTCAATCGTTATACTAAAGGTGTAATCGATAATGCCAAATGCCGGTTCATAACAATTGCATGTGACGGTCACCAATCGGCAATTAACAATTTATGTACATATGTATAAACTTTTGCATATCAACTCTCGTATACAACTTTTGCACACAACCGGTTGACAACTGCTATTTTTTGGTTTGAACATTTCTGGAACTAAAAATTTCATTAAATATAATTATTTATCCTCTTCAAAATTTTCCATCTCAATGCAGTTGGTAAATTTTCCATCCAATAAGCAGTTGAAATTTGTTTATTTTCAAAAATGTCAAAAAATTTTACCAATATGACAGACAACAGACGTTATTAACTATGTGAACTTTGTTTTTTTTTTTGCATTGTCGGTTAGACTACAAGTGTAAATATATTTTGACAACATAAAAATTTACGATGCTTTTGTTAACTGCAATATCGATTAAAATGCAAAAGAATTCAACGGGCATTTTATATTATCAATTGCACCTTAAGCTTAAACTCAGTTATAAGGCAAAAATCTTCAAAATTATTAAGATTTGGACGTCATAAAATGAAAGTGAATCATTTAATATGAAAATAAAATTAAATTAACTTTTTTTTTTTTTATTTTGATTTTCTAAATTTTGACAAATATATTTGAATATTTATATTTCCATTTTTTTTTAAAGTTAGTTCTTCTATTTCAAGGTCTATAATTTTTTCTTTTGTTTTTTCTTCAACACGGCATCGATCAGTAAATTTTGAATAATCTTTGGAAAAAAATTTTTATAGACAATTATGTGCATATATATACATATATATATATTTATATAGAGACAACAAATCAATAAGCAAGGTTAATAAGTGGGTGCCATAAACTTGAATTATGACATTTTGTTGAATGATAAATATGTACAAATTGTGAAATTTGTTTTATAATAAACTGTGCTACATTAATATTTTAAGCAATCATGGTCTTGTAATTAAATGTGTGTTACGAATTTTTTACTCTAATTTAACCATGGAAACAAGAATAATGAAAATGAATTACTTATAAATTATCGCGATGATGAAGTTGGTACTATACCATATGATTTGATTAAAGAAACATTCTGTTCTTTACAATAGAAGGAGCAAGATTGAAAGATTAAGGAAAGTGGTTTTTTCTTTTTCTTTCCTTTGATTCGGTTTTTTTTTTAAATTATCATAAAAAAAGTAAAGGACGAATTAAGAAAAAAACTAAGATATTAAAATTTTTTCATAATTAATATTAATAATTTTTTTTTTAAATTTCTTATTTCAGAAATTTACCTTAGTTAAAATTCCATGTAAAAGTGAGCCGCTTTGATCAGCGGTTTGATTTGTTGTAGAAACTGGATGTAATGTTACTTCAGGAAATGTAGACGGATTATTAGAATTGGAATTATTTTGGCCAATAGAACTATTATAACTAGCCGTAGTGGCAGTACAATTTGCAGTTTTGGTATTATTATTTTTATTACTATTATTGTTATTACTATTGTTATTATTACTATTGTTGTTTTTATTGTTATTATTATTATTATTAATATTGTTTTGTAGTGATGGTGTTGTCATTGCAGCAGCAGATGCTGCCGCAGCTGCAGCTGCATTTAAACGACCACTCATTTTAGCAAATTGGACTAGAACATCTTTTAAAGATATATTACCAGTGTTAGCACTAGTATTGGTAGATAAATTTGCAGCAACAGCAGCTGCTGCAGCTGCATTCCCATTATTTAATAAACTGTGGTGTAATGATGAATCATTGTCCGATGCTCGTGAATTCTGAAAAGTTTTTTTGGTTTTCTTTGGTATAGGTTTTTTATTTTTTGGTATATTTGGGATTTTTAAAGTATAAAAATTAAGAAAAAAAAAAAAATTTTTTTTTCTTTTTTTTTTTTATCGTGTATATTGTGTTAGAAAAATTTTTGTGCTTAAAATATTTTAATGAAAGATGATATTTGGGTTAGGTTTGATGTTATGTGATTGGTAGAGTGCGATTCTTATAGTTATAATGAGTAAGTCAGAAAAGAAAAATTAAAGTTAAACTGCAGTTTATTAGAAAAAAAAAGAAGCATTATCAGGAAGGCCATTAGAATTTAAGAATTAAACTATGAAAAAAAAAGTGGGCAAAACAATTCTAGAAGATTTACATACTATTATTCTTTAAAATGTTCAAATTATATTCTAATTTCTTCCGAACATATTATGTATTTTCAAATCAAATCGACGGGATATCAAAAATATTATTTTTCAAAAATGAGTACTTAATGAATAATGATTTTTTTTTTATTTTTCATTAAAATGATTATTTATATTGTTTAATATTTACCGCTTCCAGACGATTCAATAGATTATTTAATTCTGAATTACTAAGACGATTTTGTCCAGTTGCACCAACACTTACGTCATTGGAATTTGTGCTTTTCATACGTCTACCACGGCGTGGTACTTGTTCTGGATGACGTTGTCTATAATCAGCAATTATACTTTTAACATCTTTAAAAACACCTTGTCTTCCGACCATTAAATTTTGACTATTTTGTGCATTATTAGGATTATGATGACCATTAAATAATTCACCAAGTTGCTGTTGAACTGATGCTGCTGCCGTTAAATAATTATTTAATATTGTTGGTTGATGATTTAATGATGTTACAGAATTTGGATTTGTTGTTGTTGCAGTTTGTGTTGCACCGGGTGGCGTATGAGCTGACATTAATGAACCGGTAGCAACATTTGATAATGGTAATGGAATTTGTGCAGCACCACCTCCACCAGATGCTCCTGATGATAAAACTACTGGTGCTGTTGCTGATCCAAATAGACCACTTAAACCAGCTAATTGTGAAGCTGATGCTCCACCACCACCACTATTTGCTGCAGCATTTTGTATAAGTGATGTTGCAAGTAATTGTTGATGTTGTTGCAATTGCTGTTGCTGTGATGATGATGTTGCAGTTGATGGCTTCGGCAGGATATTTCTAGAAACAAGAAGGCTGTTTTTACAAGAAAGAAAAACAAGAGGTTGCAAGGTTAATTTACAAAAACAATTAAAAAATGGCGAAAAAATGGTTACAAAAAAAAAAAACCAAAGAAAAAAAATAAAAAAATAAAATAAAAAACAAATAAATTAAATATAATATAATGTATGTATGTATGTATGTACAGAAGAATGTTATGAAAAAGCAAACACGTTGTTACCTCAGAAATAATGAGTAAAATAAACTAAGTAGTTAATTTAATCTTGGTGAACAGATGAAAGTCGGCATGTGTTTTGAAAAGTAAAAGAAGAGAAAGCTTAGAAAAATAAAAAAGAAGAAAAAGCGCAACTTCAAAAAAAAAAACTTGTTTTGCTTATATTTTTATTTGTTATCGTAAGTGCTTGACATTGTGTTATTAAATTCGTCTTGAAAACAGAAATTTAGTAAATATTAAAGTAATTATTTAAGCAAATATGTATTAGATCTTTGTAAAGTTTCGCTATGTATTTCGGATACATAATGAAAATTATTTAGAAAATTTTACATACTCAAATTTTAAGTTTCATTCAATTTCAATTTCATCTTTAATTAATAGAACTAGCATTGTCCCATTTTACTTAAATATAGAAACTCTAAATCATGTTTAAAGTCACTGCTTTCATTAAAAAATTTATAATTACTTTTGCATAATTTTGAATTAAAGAAAATAAACAGCTTATAGGAAATACATTAAGTTAGGAAAATCTGAAGATTACTTAAAATTTTAAGATGAAGAATGAAAATTAACTGAATTGAGATATTTTACTAAATTAAATTTAACAGAAGAAACAGTAAATGAGATAGAATTTTTAAAACAGATCATTAAATTTTTTGAACAACCATTCCATACAAAAACAATTTCTGTGATATAAACAAAGTAAATATTAAAATAAAACTCAAAATATTTTATAAAGTAAAGAATAAGTTTTCTAATATAAGTTCAATGGTAACAATAACCGTGACATTTCCATTATCAGTTGATCGTTAGTTTGTTATTGTAAATTAATTAAATTTGTTTTTAATTTTATTATTGTTATTACACTAAGGAAACTCAGAATTCAAAGTAGGTGTCATCACCAAGCAAAAATAGAGAAAAATGTTGAATATTTATTATTCGAGTACATTTTAGTTTTAAATCTACAAAGTTTCTCAAAATTTATAAAAGAACAGAAACTCCACAGTTTTACTCTACAAAAATTTATTCAATTTTTTAATTATTTATTTATAGTAATTTTAATTTTTTAAATATTTTTGAAAATATTTTGATGATTTTGACATTTTCAACAGTTTTTTGCCCCATCGTACTTTATGACATCACAAGTGAAGAAGAGATTTGTAATAATCTCTTAAAACAATGTTGTTGTATTTTGAATGTTAATTATTACGCTCATTTTAAATGAAGAACGTACATTTTTTGTGAGTATTATATTTTAAAATTTACTTCAAATCATCAATCAAAATCAAATTAAATGTTAAAATTTGCTTATATTTTTAAAATGAAATGAAATGTTAGCCAATAAACTTGATTTTTTAAATTTATATTTAATATTATGGTATGAATTGATAAAAAAATTTATGATTGAGTATTTAAATTTTTCTAAAATCGTAAAATGACTGCATAATACAAAATGAAATAATAATGTAGTACTACTACATAATTCAGCCCTTAGGTTTTGCAAGCTGTAGAATAATGGTATATGAGACAATTTTACTGCAATTTGCACACCAAATTGCGCAACAATTTCAAATTGATTCATAAATTATATTTTATTAAAATGAGTGTTAGATTTTGGATTTATGGTGAGTAATAATTATTGTACAACATGTAGAAGTTAATGGTGTATCATTTGAAAATAAGAATTCAGGATGATTTTATTTCAAAGCAATCTATATAATGGAGCGTTTGTGACTGACAGAATTTATACAATGATTCATAAAATTAATTATAATGGATTATTGAAAAGGATGATGGTATTATTGCTTTAGTTGAAAATTAACGAAAAAAAAGAAAACGTTTATATTTAGAAAAGTTAACAAATTAATTTATAAACAAAAAAATGCTCGAAAATTAGTTTTGAACAGCACAAAAACAAAAATTAAAATTAAAAAAAATGAGTGTGATAAAACAAACAAACAAAAAAAAAATAAAAAACGATGACAAAATAAAAAAATTCGCCAATTTTTAAAATAACAACAAAAAAAAAGTGGATTATCAAAGTACAGGGACGTATCGCGTATTTTAATTCATTTGTTACGACTTGTTAGAACCGTTATATTAATTAAAATTGTTTTCTCATTAAATTTTATGCTTAATTTATTATAATTTTAATACATAATTTATATATGTATATATATATATAAAAAAAAAAACTCGAATGACTTAGACAAGGGATGGGAGTAAAACTTAAAAAAAAAAAATATTTCTTAATAAATTACATTTTAATTTTTACTTACCGATGAATTTTTTGTGCACTATTTTTTTCTTTAGCTAAATCGGAACTTTTCATATTGGCACGTAATTGTAAAATATTTTGAGCAGCTGATGTTGATGTCGAATTTAATGAAAATTCATTATTACTATTTAAGAAATTATTGGTATTATTTTTATTTGCTGCTGATGATATTGTTGTTGCTGCTGCATTTGAATAATTTAATAAATTTGATGTTGCTGCTGCCATTGCAGCTAATGCTGCCGCCGATGATGATACAACTGTTGATGGCGATGATAATGATGATGATCCACCAGATGCTGCTGCTGCTGCTGCAGCTGCTGCAACAGCAGCTTGTGCAGCCACTAATGATGGATTCGGTGTTGTTGCTGATGTTGCTCCAGTTGTTGGTGGCGAATGTGATGATAATAAATGATGATTTGTTAAATTTGGAATTTTTAATTGTGCTGCTATTGATAATTTTTCACCTAATAAATTTTGTTCAATTGATGTTGTTGCATTTGGTATATGATTTGTTATTTCACCAAGTTTTGTTGCCATTAATTCCATAACTTGTTTTTTACGTGTTAAACGAAAACAGATTTCTTCTTTAACTTTTTTCAAATGTAACATATTATTCCATTCATATTCTTTGGCTTTAATCATATCATTTAATGTATGAATTTCAATTGCCAATTGGCTAATATGTTTATCAATATCATCTGGTGTTTCATTTGTTGTTCTTTCAATATATTCAGCTAAAATACTATCATGTTTTGTAAAATTTGTTTCAAGTTCTGCACGTAATTTTTTCATTGGATGTATTTGTTCGACATTATCATCTTCATCACAATTATTGTTATTATTATTGTAAGCATTTGTTGATGTGCTTGTAGAATTTAATAATGGTACTGTTTTTGTTGCCGTTGCTGTTGACATATTTTGTGGTTCTGTTGAATTAATAAATTCTTTATTATGATCTTTATGATTTGCTAATGGTGTTGATGTCAATCTAATATTATTAGAAATATTCGATTCATTTTGATCTTCATTGATTGAACGTGATCTTAAACGTTTACGATTATTTAATTGATTTGTTGTTGTATTAATAGAGGTAGGTGGTTCTGGAGATTTTGAATTATCATTAATTTTAATATCATTTGTGGCATAATTTGATGATTCCTTTACTTCAGTTTTAATTAAGTTTTTGTTATCATTTTTATTCTCATTTAAAATTTCATTTTCAGAAACATCCATTAATTCTAAATTTTTATCATTTCGTGACGTTGTTTCATTCTTCTGTTTTTCTTTATTTTCATCATCTTTAAATAATTGTTTTTCATTTATCATTGATTTTTCATCCTTATTTTGATCTAATTGATTTTCATTATCGATTTCTGTGATTTCATCTTCTTTTCCATTCACTTGATTTTCATTATTCTCAATATTTTCTTTATTTTGATCACTTTCATTGCATTTTTCATTTCTATCATCTTCTTGATCTTTTAATTCTGATTTTATATTTGATGTTTCATTACTTTTTGTAATTGTTTCACGAACTTTTTCTAATGGTTGCATTTTTAATGAATTTTCTTTTAATGTTGTTGTTATAGATTCTAAAGAAATTTTCTTAGCATTGAAATCTTTATTTGGACTTGTTAAAGTTTTTAAATTGGATTTTTCTGGTGATGAATCTAATTCTATCACATCATCATTGTCAATTTTATTTTGTGTTGTTGCTGTTGTTGCTATTGCTAATTTACTAGTAATTGCTGATTTTTCTTTTTGATCTTCTGTTGTATTTTGAAAGCAATTTACTATTTCAGATTTATTTTCAGCTGATTTTGCTGATGTATATTCTAGATCATCGATGATTGCCATCTGTTGTTGGACCATTAAATCATCGGCACTATGATGCAACATTTTTGAGCAGAGCCTGAAATACAAAGAAGAGAAATGGAATTTAGTTTCGATTGCAATTAATTAAAAATTTAAGAATAATTTTTAAATGAATAATGAATGAGAGAGTTTAAAATATTTATTTGAAAAAATTTAAAGTAAGACTTATGTACGAGTATATGTTATAAGAGAATAATACTTGCATGCTGCAATATTGGCAGCATATAAAGTGTATATATTGCAGCATTATAAGACAAAATCATTTTAAAATCTTATATAAAAATTTGTATAATATTTGTACACGAATTATTTTAAATTGTTTACAGTGAAATCCAATTTATTTACTATAGTTGTGTTTTGATGCAAAAAATTGCATATTTTTAGGGAATTCATAACAATTAGATAATTGAGGTTTATTTAAGACACTCGTAAAGATTTTTAATGAAATGCAATAAAGTTATGAGTAAATTTAATTTTTATTACCAAATATATATACACATATGTAGGGCAAAAATTGTGTAATGTTACACAATACAATATGGTAACGGAGTCCACATTTTTTAATCGGTTAATGTGAAATATTAAACAAGGCTAAGATTTCGGGAAAGAAATAAATATTCTGAATATAGTATAACAAAATATTAATTCTAAAGCAGCTTTTTCAAACAAGTTCATCTTTTCAACCTGCGTTCAAAATCCTAAAATTTCAGATATTAACAATTTATTATGCCGAGAAACAAGATGCTTTTTCCGCAAAGCTAAAAAGATGGCGGGTTTAATATATATGTATTAAAGAAGGGTAAGTATTAGCGCCAGTTTATCAAAATTATTTTGAATAATAGCAAATCGTTTCTCTCTTTTGTTCCAGTTTTTACTCTAGTTTTCTTTAATATTTTGCAAGTTCCAAATTGTTGCTTTCATGCAAATCAACTACTGATTTGTTTGAAGAACATTTATTATTATCCTCTAGATTATTCGATATTAACACTATTCAACGACAAAAATTCAAGCTATAAGATTCAACCTTGTATTTAATTTAAATTCTTCTATACAAATAAAGTAAAACGTACACTTGCATAGACTTAAAAGAAAAAAAAAAAACGATTATTTCATTTTGTATTTAAAATTCTCTTTTTAACAATTTTTTAAACGGAAAACATGGAAAACATTATTGTATATGCAAAAATATACTTTTTTCTTTCCCTCACACTTTATTAAAAATTCTCTACACAATTTTTTTTTCCTTCTTGAGCTTCATCAGAAAAAAATTGACATTAATTTAGTGTTTAATTTAAAAATAAGAAAAAAAAAAAAAGAATTTTTTTTTTAAATGAAATGCAACAATTGCAATGTACTCGTATAATGTTGCATAAAAATAAACAAAAATAATACAAAAAAAACATCAAAACTCTTTTGAAATTTAAATTCTACTCTTCTTTTTTCTCCTTCATGATTATAGAAAAAAAAAAACCTTATGCATACGTGTAAATTGTAGCAGCGTCTGTAGACGACAACATCCGTGAGAGCTTTTTTCCTTTTTTCTTTTTTTGTATATTTTTTTTTTTTGCTTGTTTTTGCTATTGCCATTGTGTATTATTTTTCGAAAGCACTTACAAAAAAAAAATCATTAAAATTATTTTTAAGTATTGGTTTGGTTTTTTTTTTCTTTTTGTTGTTATTTTTAAAAATGCACGCAATGTAAAAATAGCAAAAAACAAATAACAAGAACAGCAGCAAACAATAAAATAGAAAAAAAATAAAAGAATACGCAATAATGAGAAGAAAACCTTCAAAATATGTAATGAAAAACTAAAAAAGAAAAACAAAAATTTAAACATAACAAAAATACCCGATTACCAAAAAAAAAACAAGTTAAATAGAAAAGAAAAAAAAAACCCATCAAATCGGCCCTGAACCAATCCAGAGGTCTTTGTGCTAATTTTTCTCTTTTTCTTGCTTCTCTGCTTTAGTTTTATTATACGGCGTTTTGTTGTATTTATAATTTTAAGGTCTTTTCTTTTTTTTTTAACACTCGAGGTCATAAATTAATAGTTATGGTTGGCTTTGTATGTACAAATGTATGAAGTACATACGATTATTTTTTGTTTTATAACTACCATACTTTTTTATTTTTCATTTTAACCACCATTTCACTTAAAATATCGCATGTACCCACAACACCTATTAAATAGGAATATTATACAGGAATGTGTGTAATATGATTATGAGTTACGTATATAAAACGTACATGAATGCATGCATAATGTGTTCAATTATGATTACATATATATTAACTAAGTGAAATATATGTATGTACATTTATGTACATACTTTAACACTGTGTTTGTGCACTTTATGCGTACATACCATATTACAAAAAAAAAAAATATAGGGTTATTTGCACAATTTGCAAATATATTATAACAATCGACCATCGTGATTATTACAATTTTATTTATTTTTCTTTTTATTATTATTTTCGTTTTTTTTGCTTTTATTTTTCTCTTTATCAACAAAAATTATATTACGTGCTTGTAGGTTATATTTAAAAAAAAAAAGAAAAACATCTCAAGGAAATAATATGCATGTATGTATATGTATGTATATAGAATGTATGTTTGTGCAGACAAACAGACAAACATATAGTGAACATACTCGTATACTTAATATGACATTTTAAGATATTTTATTTTTTTTTTCATTTTGTTCGTTTTATTCTTTTTAAGTATAGGTGTCGCTGACGTCATTTTATGTTAAAAACACTATTTTTTGTATATAAATACAAAGTGTTTCATTGAAAGAAGAAGGAAAAAGTTAAAGTATGTAAAGTAAAAGAATAAAGGAAGGTTTTTTTTTTAAATTCATTCATTGACACATACATATTATATACATACGTACCAATACAATCTTCGAATATAAAATAAGTGTATTGTGTAAAGTGATTTCGTTGGTTTACCAATACAATTTAAAATAATTTATTTTTATTCATAGAAAAGCTGGACATTATGTTGTAACATTTAATATTATATTATAAAATTTTAACAATTTTTTTTTTACAATAAATTGCAACTACAACCCAAAAAGAGAATTGAAAAATTTTAAAAATATTCTTTGATTAAAAATTCATTCTTGCTAAATTTTATTAATTAGTTATAGATAACTGTATGACAAAACTAGTATAACAATTATGCATTATTGAAAACTTTTAGAATTTTTTTCCAATCACTTGCCATAAGAGCATAATAAGGGAAATTAAACTAATAAAATATAATAAATTTCAATTAGGAAGCTTTAGAGCATTTAGAACATAAAATACTTTAAGCAATTCCCGGAGTAGATTGTATAAGATTTGAATCTTACCCAGCATTTACACGTACAAGTTACTTGCAGGAAAGTTGCAATACATACAAAAATTTTACTAACACATTGAAATATTTCTACTTGCTTGTTTACTTGCAGTTCAACTTGCAAGAAAATTTTGCTGCCAGTAATTTGAGCAAGTAATTTGACATATTGAGAAATTCACAAAAAAAAATTTGTTGTTTTGATTTTTTTTTTTTTTAATTTAAAATTTTTGAATTTTGTTTTGAAAAAATTAAACTTAGCAAACTTATGGTTTCTAAAATTTATAAACAATTATATATATTGCTAGTTGTTTTCTTCTCAAAGACATTTTCAAAAATTAACTTGCTAAACGCCTACGTCATAATAGCAAGTAATTTGACATTTCGAAAAACTAATTGACAATTAATATTATACAAACTTGCTTGCAAGTAACTTGTATGTGTAAATGCTGGGTTATATATGAAAATACAAATATAAAATTGGATTTCGAATAATAAATGTCATGAATTTGACATTTACTTTTAAAATATTAAGCCACCTGCCGGGAAAATGATTCAGTCGTTCCTTTCAGCCATTTTTTTATAGAATTTGTAACTATTATTTTATGTGATTTTCTTTGGTATATTAAGCGTTTGAAGCAATGAATTAATATTTAAGTTCTTTACTCCTAAATATTTGATATTTAATTTTATTGGTACACCTTGTTCCAAACTCCTTAAAATAACGTTTAATACTTAATGAGGTCAATTGAATAAGTAAACCAATTGAATGCTGCGTGTTATTATTATTAAAAAATAAAAGAAAAAAAAAGTCAATGTTTTATTATTTTAATTATAAATCCTTCCATCTGTCGTTATCAAGTTGGGTTCATAACATTAACCTACATTTTGTTTTTTATTTCTTTTTAAATTTCAATAATTTGCAAAAGTAAAGTAAACCATTTTTTCTGGTTTTTTTCATATTTTTTGAATAAATACATACTTTTTGATAAAATAAAATTTTTGTAATGATTAAGCATACATTGAAGGTTATCCGATATGATTTATGCATGTCTCTCTCATACGAGTATGTACCTTTATTTTATAAACATTAAATTATATATAAATTTGAATAAATATTATTTATCGTGATTATATTTAAGTAATAAATTTAAATTAATTAAAAAATAACTAAAAATGACCGGTTTATTTCAATGCGATGATTTTTATTAAAAAGGAGTAATTTGTTAAGTAGCCAATTAACATTTTAAAGAGAAAAAAAAAAACAAAAGAAAAATTATGTCCAGTCTAAACAGTCATAAAAATTTTTAATAGATTTTTTTTTTTTTTTAATAATTTAAAGTTTTAAATCCTTATATGTTTATAAATAATTCTTTTTTTAATCACGAACATTTTTCATTGAAATTGACGTTAATTCAAGTTCTTTTTTAAGTGTTTCTTTAATTTTTTTGTTAAATGAATTTCTCTTAAATTTTACAATGATTGCGTTTCTTTTTAATATGAAAGTCAAGGAAGTATATCACAATTATTATGTGCTTAACAAAAAATGTGAAGATTATAATTGCAATGTTGAAGAAATATGCAAAAAAAAAAAAGGAGAAAATGTGAAATTTATTTTTATTTTATGTTTTTTTGCATTTCTTACTTAATTTTCAACAACAACTTCATTTAACAAAAATTTAATCACGTTCTA